TCTCAAGTTATAGCATAGACCTAATTGTGTAATTTAAATTTTCATAAAATATTAGTCCTAGATTTTGGATCTTCATTTTCTAATTCATAATAATTAGCTCATAATCAATCAAAAATAAAATAAAATAATAATAATGTTTGTTTAAAAGTTAAAAAATGTTCTTAAATGAGAGTCTATTTTAGCACAAAATTGATCTTGAAAATTAAATATATTGTATATTCACTACAAAACATGAATTTCTCATTGACCTAAATTATTTAGTAAGCTATAGATGACATGTGACACATGGATCACCCTATCCTTGTGTCTAAAAGCACTATTTTAGGGCCACCCTGTTTGCTACTACAAATATAGCTTTATTAATTGTTGTTTGGTGGTTGGAAGTTGGAAGAAATCTATGAACTTAGCAAATGAAAAACTATATTTCTATGTCTAAGCCAATAGGGGCATTAAATTGTTATCATGAATTAAACTCTCATTTTTTTAGATGTGAATCAATTCTAATTTTCTTTTTTTCATGCTTTAGTTTTTTTATAGTAGTATGTAAAGTCAAATTATTATTGGGAGATTTACATATATACTACATTATTTTTCTTTCTTGACATGTCTTCACATTTTAGAATTTCATATTTACATGCATTACACTCAAAATTTTGACATCACATAAAAAAATTATCAGTTAATTTTTTAAAAGTGAAATACATCGTTTCATGCTTAGGTTTTTTATATCAACGCATTATAAATGTAAATATCAAACTTTTAGTGTTTGGCATGTAAAAGCATAAGAATTGTGTGATATGTATGTAAATTTCTCGTTATTATTTTGTGATTAGAGCTTAATGTTTTTTTTCCCTTTTTCACCATATGTTTGAATTTAAGTGCATCGACTTACATTAGTTTTATTATTATTTATTATCACTAGTGTTGCGCGCTGGTAAATTGACGGCCGTAGAGTTATATATTAAGGTTGTAGTGTTGCACTAAGATCTAACATATAGATAAAAGAATATATGATAGAGAGAACAACAAGATTTTTTATATTGCAAATCTAAAAGAGTAAAAACCACATGATTTAGTCCAGTTGAAATGATTTCACTATGCCAATGTAGGTTACAAGGCTTTATAAACCCTTGAATAACCAGAAGCAATATTATATTACGGAAGTGACAATAACCTGGCTGCTGTGAATGAAGACCGGTGGTAGAGGTAGTGTCAAAAAAAATCTGATGTCAGCATCATCTGTAACAACGGCCAGATGGCTAAGGTCCCAAATTTTTATTAAGTTTCTAGCTAAATGCGCGACAAGATTCATGCTGATTTTTAGGGACATATCAATCAAAAAATATTTTATTTTAAATATTTTCATTAATTTTGGTTTCTTAATTAATTTCATGATACCATCATTGGCGTGTATGTTAGGTTAATGCATCAATATAAACTTTATAACCAGTGGAATAATTTTATTTTGTTTTAGAAAAGCATTTAATGCTGCTCCTATTAATAATGTTGGTTTGTTGATTAATTTTTTGATACACTTGTTGAAATGCTTTACGTTAAATGCAGCAATAAAAGCATTATAATAAGTGGAATAGTTGTCATTAGTTTGAAAGAATATTTAATGTACTTATTGATTAATGCCGGTTCCTTATTTAATTTCATGATACACTCAAATGAATGGTTTATGTTAGGTTATGGGTATTCCTTATTTTTTTTCCTAATCTTGACTAGTTAATATGATGATCTCTTTAATACAGATAACTAAATGGGTATCACTTTAACAAATAGTTGTGTCTATCGGACATAATAAATGACTGACTAACTTTTACTTCTAATTGGCGGGTGTCTTGTTCTCGATCGGTTATGGTGATCAACTGATTCAACCTGTCGTTTAGGTTCGATTATCAGTCGTCGAAGAAAGCGAGTTGGGTTAATCGATCATTTGACATTCTTTCGCACGAAATTCCATTCGGAAATAGTGAAACCCTCTTGAATCGTTTGATCTCGTTAGGATTCGTGCTGATATTTTTCTTTTATACAATAGTCAAAGTTATTAATGTTACGTATCTCACAATCAAACTTTAATATTTACATCCTTAGCAATCAAAACATTAAAAAAAATAAAAATTAATAATAACACTAATGTTAAAATCATAATTTTATCAGGTTCATGAACTTTTGTTGTTGTTTGATTCTAATGAAACTGTCGAAAATTCCAAAATAGATGGGAAGGTAGCGATGGGATCACGACGAACAAAAAACCTCATAAACTCCCATCTTTGTCCTCCTTTCGCCCCGCTCCTACTTGAAATCATTGAGAAAAGTAACCCTTGTTTTTCTCTCATATCCCTCACATGCTGCCTTCGCGAGCTTTAACTCTCCAATTCTCGTACCTAGAGTTAAGATAAAACAGTTGGAAGTTTGGATTTAAGAACCTGCACGATTTTGAGATGTCATTATTGTTAATTGGCAGGAGGAGACACAAGACTTAGGATATGTAGTATTTCAATTTGTCAATTTTGTTGTTTGGTTGGATGGAAGTGGGAGAAAAATCAGGGTTACCTTCGTTGGGGCGGAAAAAGAAAGATAAGAGTTTCAGAGGTCTTTGTACAACACGATAATGTCGCTGACATACCTGCTATTTTCGACTTGTTCATTTTACCTTCTGATGAGCTCAATAGAATCTACATGCTAGTATCCGGCGAGAAAAATAGTTTTTAGTGTTATAAATGTAAATCCCCCAATCATTTAATTATTAGACAAACACATTTAAATTATCAAATAATACAACTAAATTATCAAACATATTTCATTTGATTAGTAATGTGGGCCATACCACTTTATTAAAAAAAATGGTGATATTTGACATATATGAGCATAGCAATACAGCATTGAAGAATCAAATGAAAGGGGATAAAAGCCATAAAGGCACGTGATGAGCTATTGGGTTATGTCCCAACTTTAGTTTTGGACCTTTTAAACAATTTTTTTTAAACATAAAATAAATAGAAAAATAATAAAAAAAGAAGATTAGTGATAATAAAATTACCTTAATAAAAGTTTAATTACGTGCGCCGAAAATTTCGGTCAGCATCCGGCCGTCTCTTTCCATTTTGACTGTTGGACGCCGGCGATTGGCGACGCCGATGTATCTCCTTGCCCATTAATTTAATTTACAAAAACCTTCATAATTTACAGATTTACCCTCAAGTTATAATTGTTTCAGTTTTTTGGCCCACTTTATAACCATTTTTTTACGAGCAGTTTCTTGTACAGCTTTCTTTTCCTTTGGACTATTACCACGTGTTGATAGGATTCAATGTTAATTAGGGTTTATATTAAATTAATGAATATGGTTAATTAATCAGTTCATAATACTTAGTAGTTTTATATTTTATAAATAGTTTTATTTACAGCACATTTAAAAATGAAAAAAAAAATTGATGCAACTTTTTCTTATTGTGTGTTTTCTGCTTGCCCCATCTTTTGATTCAGAATTATTTATTGAATAGAAGACTTTTAATTATTGTTAACTAAATGATTAATTATGCTTATTAATCTAATATAAATTTAATGAATATTATAATATATCAAAAATTTTAGATGGGCGTTTTAAAATGTACCACCCAATTCTTATATATTTATAACAACACCTAACTTTTTATATTTACATATATATAATATTCATATCTTTAACATCTTACTTCAAATATATTTATACCTCAAAAATGTGCCAGCAATGATCCTGAGGAGTAGGGGTGTAAACGAACTAAACACGAACAAACAGAGCTTGTGTTCGTGTTCGGTTCGTTTGAAATTTAGTTTGTTTGAAATAAGCTTGTGTTCGAAATTATTCGTGAGGTCACTATTCGTGTTTGTTTCTTAACGAACGAACCGAATACGAGCCGAACACGAGCTGTTTGCGAACGAAGAGCCAATTTGACATCCCTAATATTAATATATATATAAATAATATATTATATTAATTATATAACTTATATTATATAAATATATAATATCTATATTAGTATATTACTAATCGTTAATTTTTATATATAATTATTTTAAATTATTTTATATTTCGAACAATAACGATTCGAACACGAACGAAAACATCATTGTTTGTGTTTGGTTCGTTTAAATAACCGAACGAAAAATATTTGTTCACGTTCGTCTCGTTTATTTATTGAACAAATCGAACACGAACTTATTGAAGAACTGAACACGAATTGTTCGCGAACAAAGAGCTTTTTTGACATCCCTACTGAGGAGGCATAACGATATAAGTGAAAAGAGTACGATGAATGTTGGGTCCATTTACAGGAGATCACGAGAACCACTTATTCGAAAGAGTGAAGCTGCCAAAACAAAGCCCACAAACCCGAAACAGATCAAGCCACAGGATGGACGGAAACGATTGGAGGACACCAGAATGAGTCACTCAGTCAAAAATGAAATTAAAAAAAAAAATCATTTGAGCCAACTTTCAAAAGAAAAACAATCCAAGGGAATAACCTATTCTCCAATATCTCCAACTATCCCAAGACGCTGATATGTATAGCATTGAAGTGATGAGAGCTATACCAAGAGTCTACCACCATCTAAAAATATTTTGATGGAAATATGCCAATTATTATTATTATTATTATTATTATTATTATTATTATTATTATTATAACATAGAAGTTGGATTGGAGCTTGGGTGAAATCCTATGAATGAGTTGGACAGTAAGTTGACTCATTTATTCTGAAAAAATAGGACTATAACTCGTCCTTAACTCATTTACCCAACTTAAATTGGATTGTCTCAAGAGTTAAACTCATACTCAACTCTCTCTCGTTTGATAATCTCTCTTTTTTTTTTCTAAAATCCAAATTCAACAAAATTAACATCAATCCATGCATTACTTTTCTAATTAATTTCAGTCCCAAATTTCATTTCCCAATCCCAAGTCTCACCCCGGTTAGTTCCCTAACCACACCCCTTCCCCTTGTATTTATACTCCCATGCCCTCTCCCCACCTCTTCGAAGCTCCCACTTCCCTCTCCCTTCTCCCTCATCTCAGCCATGAATTCTTCTTCCAATTCACAGAAAAGTTACTCAAGTTAATCCACAAACAGCAGAAACAGCTCAGTAATGCAAACTGAAGCGGCGGGGAAGGCGAAGCAGACCATACATACTTCCAAGCAGAAGAAACCCCCTACTCTTCGCACAAAATCAATCATTTAATCATTAATCTGAGTTCAGATCCCAAACTCTCCACCATTTCTCAAATGAACCGCCCAACTCCAATCCCCTGTGGCCAGCTCCCCCAAACCCCCTTTTTTCCTCCATCTCTGCGCATTAAACCCCATCAATTCAACTAAAACTGCAAGATTTCCGCAATTCGAAAAAAGATCGGCAAACATGATCTTCGAAGACGACAACGAGGACGGAATTTGCTCCGGCTCCATCGCCGCCACGGTGGCGGCGATGAAGAAGAGGCGGCTGGGAACTGAGCAAGTGCGGGCTCTGGAGCAGAGCTTCGATGTCGAAAACCGGCTCGAACCGGATCGGAAAGCTCGTTTAGCTCAGGAGCTCGGCCTCCAGCCCCGCCAAGTCGCCGTCTGGTTCCAGAACAGACGCGCGAGGTGGAAGACGAAGCAGCTCGAGCGCGACTTCTCGGCACTCAAGTCCCGCTACGATGCCCTGAGGCTCGATTACGATTCACTCCGCCGTGACAACCACTCCCTCGTCGCGCAGCTCTCTAGCTTGAAGTCCAAGCTCGCCGGAGAAGACGACGTGAAGCAGGGAAAGGAGAAGCCGCAGCCGGCGATTGGCGCTGAGGGAGCCTGCGAGAGCGATTCGAGCGCTGTGTTGAATCTGGATTTGTTTAAGGTGGAGGAAGAGGGTTGGGAGGAGAGTTGCGGCGCCGGTCTCTTTGTCGACGAGCATGGATCAACTCTAGCTTGGTTCTCCGCTGAGCTCGCCGCCGGCGAGGGTGGAGCTAGCTGGTAAGGAAAAGGGGATTTCCGGCGATGGAGGGAGGCATAAAGGCGACGACTTGGCCGAGGCGGTTTGCTTTCTTCTCTTTGTTGATGGAAATTTTTTTGTAAAATGCGAAGAATGGATTTAGATTTTAGTTTTTGGAGAAAATATTATGGTATTATGCGCCACTAATAACACTTCAAATATTGTCAGTCGTGCCTACAGAGTTCGGATGTAATAATCCCTCTAGTTTTTGGTTCGGTTCATGTCTTGCCTCCACTTCTGTAAAAAGCTGGATGTTTTAAGGACAGAGAATAAAAGAGATGGAGATGGAGATGGAGATGGAGATGATAAGTAGCTTTAATCTACCTTCTTTTTTTCTCAAATGAGAGGGCAAGAGTTTGTTTTTTTCGCAATTCTTATGTGTTTATATTTCTAATACCTAAAGTTTTTATTTTGTTTTATTATTTTGAAGTTTAGTCTAAATGACAACTTTGTTACAAATTAATGTTTAACCGTTATGGTGTGTTTTGTATTTGGTTTCTTAATTAGAGAGAATTTTCACACAAACTCTTCCACAAGAGTTGTACTGATTCCTGAAGTTTGATATTTATATTTAGAATGTTTCGGGTACTAAAAAATATTTTTTGTTGGACAATATGAGCCAATTTAATTTAAAATTTACTCACACAACATATATAAGACATGCAACTTATGACATCTTGATTGAAAGACCTATCAACCAACTAAGAGGTTAATATGATTGGCATATAGAGATATATATATATTTCAATCTTAAAAATTTAATGATAGCTATCAACCAACTAGCTATCACTCTTCATAAATTTTATATGTAATTTGTGGAGCAACAAGCTTCTTTTCTTAACAGTGTACCAAATATATACTGGGACCTATGGTAGATTAGATTGAAGCTTAACATGCTTCTTTTGGTGACAGTTTACCTAATTTATACTCATACCTATGGTAGATTAGATTGAAAAGTTATAGAAGATTGTAGCAACATATTGATCATTATTTAATCAGAGTGGAATTATTTCCGATATGCATCAACAAATTCACATTTTTCCACACGAATCTCAAAGCATGACACAGATCTTGAGATAATTTTTTGAGTTTGAAGTATTCAAACTCTGATAAAGAGTCATCCAAAAGTCCAATTTCAACAAACTGATAGTCAAACTGACCTACACGATAATACATAGGCAATGTTACTAAATTTGGTCCAATCCGATTCAAATCAAACTCATATCAAGTCATTAAATTAAATCACTTTTGAAAGCTTTCTGAGCATATTTATGAGATTAATTGTATGTTGAATCTGATGAGGTTATAGTTGAATTGAATGTCTCAAAGAGACGAATCCAACAAGCTTAAGATTGCTTAATTTTAACATTTTTAAGGCACTCAAATATTCATCAAACATCGTCTATTCGAAAAAAGCTTTATGAAGTGTTCAATCAAAGTGGTTCACATTCTTGTATTGATTGCACTTATAACTCTATAAATAGAGTCACATCTCTTTCATGAGGGGGAAGAGAGCTTGAGGGTTGAGGAAAAGCTTGAAGCTTTGAGAATGAGCTAAAGCCCAACATCTTTTTTTCGTCGACCGCCAGTCATGGCTTGTCGCCGGCCACCACTCGCTGGTCTTTGTTGATCACCATCAGTCGCCACCCACTTCTTGCTATCAAGCACCGTGCGAAGCAACAAATGACATCGCAAAGTCACGAAGCAACATGCAAAGCGACACATCATCCCAAACACCGGGATGTTGCCCCAAAAACGGTGTAACAATGCATCTTAAAAATGGTGTAATAATGAATCTCACATAAACTCATGCAACTCTCTACTCCGGCCCCCTGAGGCCTACAGAAGTTATCGCAGCTCACCACTACGGTTCATGTGCCAACAAAAGCATGTGGTCCCTAGCTCTTATAGCTCCCAACTCCGGACCCTGCAGTCTACTAACGTCACTACTACTCACCGCTACGACCTACGTGGTCATCAGCTAGTGCAGCTTCTGACTCCAGCCTCCGTGACCTATGAACGTCATTAATACTCGTCACTACAACATATGTGGTACACAACCCCCACAACTACTTATATTGGCTTTTCTGGCCAATCATCGCTTCTAGAGCAACCATCTACGACACTCACGATGGATTAATACCTCCACAAAAATCGACAATGACCCTTGCAACCAGATGTCTCCAAGAATTACAGCCAGATTATGGTTATACAACTTTGTATTTTCATTCCCTAAATTCAGAAGAAGAATGAGACTGTGTACTCATCTTTCATAGTGGATTGTTTTAACTGGGCTAGGCTCGTGTTTATTCCCCCTTTCAATGGTTTTCCACACAAAAAGTTGAGAAGCTTTTAACACACATCAATTTAGTCTTAAAAAATTTTCAACAATGGAGAAAAATTATGTCTTCAACTCTGAAGAAATATAAAACACATATAAATAGAAGCGATAAGAGGAAACAAAATTTTTACATGAAAGAAAAAGGCTTAGCCAAGAAGGAATATATCATTATATAACTTAAATTATAAAATTTCACCCTTCTTTTCAAATAAATAATACAAGATACATGAATGTTAATTTATCTTTTTTTCCTGCAATAGAGGTCATCAGATGACAACTTTAATTAAATGTTCGTAGTTAGGTAACACTAGATTGGAGCTAATAACGAGCCACTATAGATCATTGCCCATCGGCCATCATTGTTTGTCGTCCCCAACCACCGGCTGACATCAATCCCTACTTTCAACCATTGTAATTTAAATACGTCTGTTATGTCTAGCACCTATACTTTTTGTGTGTTGTATAAGTGTAATTTTTCAGTGTAAACTTATAACTTCGTTCTTCTATTTACGTTAGAAGAACACACGCATATACTTACAAACACAGTGAATTACTTTGATTAACTTATCCCTCATAGTTCTTTTTCCTTTCCAGGTTTTTCCACGTAAATAATTTTAATGTCTCTTCTTGCTACTTCTCTTTTATATGTGTGTATCACATCTTCTTATAAGTTATAACACTAATACATTAAAATACAACTCTACAGCCGTAAATTGTAGTCATATGCAAATTTAAATTTGTTATAAAATCTAATCTAACATACGCCTTCTAAGTTCAATCAAGAGGCATTTTCATACATAACACGCAATTCTTCTGTATTTACATATCTAACTGAAGCTTTCATATTTATCCTCATACCGCTCATTTATTTTCTATCACATCAAAACTATTATCACAATTATCACTGTTCGTGAGTCAAATTCACATTTTCATAAATAGATGAAATAAAAATATAATTTTTTTGGTGCAAGTTAGATAAATAATACATAAGGATTCCTCTTATTTACCGATTTATCAATATTAAAATTATATTTGAACCCTCAATTTTCTAAATAATAATTTAATTTATTTATTGCGTGGCTTTGCTCTTATATTTACATGCTCCGAGTCTTCGGCTCGTGGGTGGACTTTGTGAAGTGGGGACCATTTGATGGAAGTGGAGACCGCGAATGAGAATTAGACACGTGTATTCACATATTTGACTGCTAAAATTCTACTTATATATATCTCGTTTATTTATTGATTATATATATATTTATTTATTTATTTATTTATTTAATTTTTACAATCTAAGCACTCTAACATATGTATGAAAATGTGGATTATATTATTTGCTATGTATGTAAATACCCCCTTTTTATATTTATTTCGCCCAAATCTTTTTTTATTACAGAAAAGCTATCACCAATTTAATTTTTAAAAATTAAAATGGAACATGTTTTCATAGCATATATGTAAGAACTGAAATTTAGGTGTTAGGCATGTAAGTACATAATACTTAAGTGATATGTATGTAAATATTCCTTTAATAATTAAAAAAGGGCATTTACTTGCCACCCGATTACTATGTATTTACATATCTAATACCTTGTACATAAAAAATGTGCTAGCATAGATTCTGAAGAGATTCAACAGTCCAAAAGAGAAGAAGTGCGACAAATGACAGCCCACCAACAAAAGACCAAGAAGCTCACTTATTTGAATGAGTGTAGTCGATGAAGGCTGACTGAGCGAGAAGAATGACAAAAATAATAATTTGAGTCTAAACTAATCAGACTAAAGCAAGATAGATAAGCACTCGAGCAAACTATTAGAAAAAGGCTGAGTGAAGAGAAGAAAGCTGAGTGAAGACACGATCAATCTTCTAGTTATTTAACCTGAGGAAAGAGTTCAATTTCTCATTTTCACCAACCATCCCATGGAACGCCTCAAGACTTCTTATCAGGGACCAAGAATTGAAAATACAATAGGGAATTATAATCATCTCAATGAAACTCTTTTGTCGTGGAATGAGTTTTGTATCAGATTACGGTGATTCACCCTTTGCTCAATATTCTAGTCTCGTTCTGCTAACAAGAGCTCTTCATCTAGGGATTGAGGGTTGACAATCAAACTAGATCAACCAATCAACAAAGCCTAGGTGATCGAGACAGTCCTGCCGACATGAAGGTAATCAGACTCAACTGATCGGTAACGTCGATCAAGCCTAGCCGATCAGATTGGCTTTATCGAGTCTAAATCATATTAGTCCAATCGAATGAGTCAAAAAACTACCAATTAATAGGCTCATATATGAAAAATACCTAGAATATCATGTACAATCACCATTAAAGCAGAGACAACAAAGTAATATCGCGATATCGTATCATCTCCCATATAAATAAAAAGATCATTTTATGAGAAATGGATAATAGAAAAGTAGCAAGGGTAGCAAGGGTGATCGATGAGCGGTTGTTGATGGTGGTCAGTGGTTATGGAGTTTAAGAGTTATCTTTAGAATTTCATTCCAGAACAACACTGGAATTTGACTCTTTAAATCAAAATAAGAGAGGACTGCTCCTATAAAGTCCATTGGTCTAGTTACTCAGTTGTTTGATTTGATTAATCTATTATATTAACTCAGTGAATTGATTAATACCATGTATTGGGCCTACCCAAACACTTATGGTCATACATATACATTGCATTTAATCGTTTATAGAGAAGAGAACACAATATAGTAATATTACGTTTCTATTCCTACTTGAAGGAGGACTTCCATAATATTC